TTTGCTGCGAAGATTGTTGAAGCTGAAACAAGCTGAAACTTTTCGTTAGTTCCTGTCTCGCCTATAAAGGAAGTTTATGCTGAAAGGACGGTCACTGAAGCCAGGTGCCACAGCCGGCGGAAAAAAATTGAAATGTGTACGTGCCTCTGGTGTTATTTTCGGTTGGCTCTAGGCAATTTATTTTTTGTGTACGAATTCCCCAAACAAACTTGATCCGCACGATTGTGCTTCCCAGTAAATGACTATCAACAACTATCCGTATTGAGCTTCATTTGATCAACTCTGTGAAGTTCACTATCATGACCCACGCTTGGAGGAATCTTTGCAAATATCTTTTAACAAAGATCTTCTCGGGACAACTGACCAGTTTTGTTTACTTTTTGCAAGTGGTGATTAATCCACAATACCTCCTCCTCAGCCATATTTCATAATGTTAAATGAATTTTGTGGGAGCTTTTGTCACATCAGAATTAGTTAAGCCATTTTGAAAGCTTCGTCTGCCATAAGAATTGCTTGCTTACCTAATTTCCTTATATGTAAAGATCCCCCAGATGGATCTAGAAAGCAAACACATGATCTAGTCTTTGTCTGCTAATAATGAAGCATGGAGATCAAAGTTTGCGCTTTCTCAATGTATAAAGAAAAGCTCGAGTTACAAACTTTATTCTTGTGGGAGATGAACTTTGTTCGTTTGTCTCACGATAGAGTCACTTTTGACGTAGATCGCGACCAGTTTCGACTGCAATACTGCTATTCTTCATCAGGCGATGAGCTCGATTGTTTACGCGTCGCTATTTGATTCTTAAGATTGGTATTCCTGGCGAATAAGTGTCAAAAACTTTCTGTTTTGAGCTTTCAATCTTTTAGGAAATATAAGTTTGAACTGAGATATTATAGAAGACTGAAAAAGACAGATCGAGAGTCCTTCGTGCTCTCGTAAAAGCGTGATGCATTCTGAAGCTACTTTCCCCTCCATTGCGACCCAACAATCCGATTACAACTAAAATTGTATGACCCTCGCGCAAATATCTTTCGATAGAGGTCTCCGCATGGTATTCAGTTACTTTTTTACAGTGGTGATTAATTTATCAATTCAAATCAGAATTAACTAAACCATATTAAAAGTCTTTCATTTATTTGACCTCTTTTGTCTTTTATCAAGCTGTTAGAGATGTAGCTAACCCGTGATAAGTAAATCGTGATTTATCTATCAGCACAACTGCGGCTGACCCCGGTGACTTGAACGTTCGCAAGTAATTGAAAAAGATCCAAGTCTTTGGGAATTAAGAGGAGTTAAAACCGGAGATACGGAATCAAAAGCGTGTATTTTAAGCAATTTTAGAAAGGTAAAGAAACTTCGAGTGATCCTGGAATAATTTGCATGTATTAAGCGGCGAAGCCTTATGAATTGACTACACGCGCTGCGGTTAAATGTTTTCTTAATTGCACTGAAGTGAAATTCTTTTCATGAGAGGAAAGGGAAAGGGAACAAAGCATCACAGGACGAAATCACATGTTTCCGTATTTCTGAAACGTGGCGGAAACATGCAACTCCATGTTTCCGTTATGTTTAACATGCACAAAAAGTGGTCCGGTTCCGTTGTATACGCAGCAATGGAAACGCGAGAAAACGTCACGAAACCGGTAACTGAAACACAGGTTATCCGTCGTGTTTCCAGAACGGTTTAACATGTTTCTGCCACGTTTCCGTTTACGGATTCTTGTAATTTCGTCCTGTGCATCCGCAAATGCTTACCTATCAATTCAATATTAAGGACTTAAGTACAATTGTACAGTTACTGCATCTTGTCCTGTCACGAACTGAAAAACATTATTTGAGTACTCGAGGACAAAATTGTAAAGAAAATGAACCAACGTTATTTTCGACATGGCATGCACATAAACAAATTAGTTTACCCATGAGAGAAGAATCCGTTTTATCGAAATAACATCTCTTACTTTATACATCTTGAAAGTAATTTATCAAAACTTTACCTTAAAAGTATTGCCAATGTTTTTCACAGTTAACTTTGCATTACATATTCAATTTTAAAACGTGTGACATGATTCAAGGTTCCAAGATATGACTTATTGAGCGGACATGACAAGTCATTCTGAAATACACTACTCGCTTACACTAGCTATTGCTATTTTCGGGCTAGTGTATCCTATGTAATGAGTATTGGTGATTATCGATTTCTAAGTAAACTTGATAATTCGGTAAAATGATGTTTCAATATTTTTCAATGGAATCTAAACGAATAGGCCGGTCAGCTTTTCCCGGTTATGCTGACTGCATTTGGCCACGCAAAAGGGCCTTTCCCGCAGACTACAATAATAAAATGATTACGTAAGATTTCGCCAAACAAGCAACTTTTTGATAAATGGGATCAGTTTGATGAATAGTCATAACCCACGAGTAGCCAAAACGAATTTCTCCCGCAGTTCCAATACATCTTTAAGTACAAACGGGGATGGAAAGACGAAAAAATATCAACAAGGAGATACCTTTGAACTTTAAGTGCTGAAATTAAAAGACTTATTCCAGCAAACAGCACGAAACACTGACCCTTATATTACGGGAGGGAAATACAAATGTATATTGGTGGATGATGAACGCGGTTGCTTGGTGACCAATGCGGATATCGAAAGTTATCACTTGATATTGCGTCGACCGTGCGTGTATGTTACTTGTCAAGTTTGTCATGATGCCCTAAAAATAATCTTATTACTCATACGTGTAGACGATTATGCCAAGTCCATATGTAAAGCTTGATGACGTCATACTGGGCTTTTACGATATAAATTAAGGCTTTGAAAGAGCTTCTCATTCAGTGTGAGTCGAGACCTGCCTCAAAGAAGTTAGAAAGAGCTTAGAAGCTGGGGAGAAGCACATCTTTGTGTCCAAAAAGGTAAGGCCTTAGCTGATTACTGACATTCGCCGTAGGTCAAATGGATATCGTGGAGAAAACTGAGAATTTGTTGATGATCCATTAGAAATCTGTTAGTGCAAACGTTATGTCGAAATGTAATTCCGAAATTGGCTGGTTGACCAAGCGACTAATTCCCACCAAAATGGCTACATCATTATTAGTAGAAAAAAACCTCGCGGTGATTGCATGCCTTACAAAAAAATTCAGAACTATGGCGGCCTGTGACAAAATGACATGAATAAGAGAAAATTTACAGCAACTGAAATATAACTTTATAAACTTAAAGGAGCTTATATTTTTTTCCTTCCGATCTCTGACGCCCAGGAAAAACTAAATCGAAAATTCCGCTTTTGGAGAACTTTTCATGATTTTTTGAAAAATGTCTGATTTGTGAATTCAATGTTGGGATAGTTCCTAAGGGCATTTCGGTTTGTTCTTGAATGCGCAATTGAATTAAAATCAAGGATAAGTGATTAAAGAGGAACCATTTAACGCCTACGCAAACAATAATTGCCTACTTGTGGCAGCGTTGTTTTACTAGTATTATTACTGATATCTGGAAGCCGTTTATACCATAACAGAAGGTGACGGCGCATAAAACGCAAAATCGGAGCGAATCGTGTAAATACTTTTTTCTCTTATTTCGATTCGCGAGTCTGATACATTTGAAACAAGAGCCGTAGTTGATAAGCGACAAAGAACATAAAATCTTTTGTTGTCGAAAATCATTGTTTGAGAACATGACCTACTTAAGTAAGAAGTTTTTTTATTACTAATTTCGAGCACCGCTATCAATCAGAGCTAAATTTGAGGTTAAGGACTTTCCGATTTTCAGAATTGAAATTTTCGTTTCGTATTTGCAATCCCAAAATTGAAAGTTGACAATTTGGATGTGAACCATTTACTCAGGCGGCAAATCCAAACAAGAAAGCAACAACTGCTAACTTATTAGTCAGAAGTTTTCTTCGGTAAAATGCGCTCTAATGTATGCTGTTTGATTGCTACTGACATTATATATACCAGCGATTAACCATTGTTTGTTTTGCTCGCAAATCAAGAAAGCGAAAACCACGCAACAAAAATCTATCACTTTTAATTCAACTGAATCCGCTTGATATCAGGTTGTTTTGTTAAGTTTCGTTAGTAAAGACGGTTATAATTTGAAACTTCCTGTCTATCAAATGACGTTGTAAATGCGTCAACAGGGTTCAATGACGTCATCGGCAATAAATAGAATCTTTCTTTTTATTTCCTCTCATTGTCAGAAAACTTTGAAGATTCCTAAAGCGAACACAACAAAATATCTCTTTGTTACAGCTGATACAAGTCTGCTTTGCTCTGTTGCATCAAGATTAATAGACATACCATTTTCCTAACTTACTGCAAAACTAAATTTAGCCAACTGACTGGTACTTTACGGAACTCGGACGTCGTATCCTGTAAGTGATGTCGTGCTCACTGATACTGAAACACATTTACGTCTAATGAGTTTATATTGTCTGTTTTTTGATACTAGCATAAGGAACGAAAGAAGAAGTGTCACATCAGTCTAAAAAAACAGGATTCAGCATTGAGAAAGTCAAAGAAGTCATGGATCTGAAAGTAAAGGTTAGATTCCACTTAACGAATTAAATCAGACTAACACATCTCTCTAGAGGCTATTCAGATACACCTGTTAAAACAGAAAATGTTTTGTTTGTTTGTTTGTTTGTTTTTTAATGCGTGTTTGCCACGTTATTCAGAATCCTGAATTCACTTATATTTAGCTATTCAACCAAACAGTTATATTCACCACCCGAATAAATTTCGTTTTTTGAACAAGATTTCATTTTCTTGTTTCCAGACGCATTCGATTCAACCACCAATTTCTCCTCAACTTTCTCAGCCTTCTTTTTGTCGTTATTTGAGTGATCTATCATTTTAGCATAAATGAGTTTCATTGGTTAAAACAAACTATCCAGACCATTTCTTTTGTAGTCCACAATTATTTCACAGTCATTTCCAACCCTAAAGCCAAGAATGAGGAGTTCGTGACAAAATCATGATCTCCAAATGAATTTTCCGTAACTCATAAAGTAACCTCCTTTAGGCATATAAATTGCCAATCTTTGGAGATAGATCCGCTCTCTTGAGCATAATCCGAGAGCTAAGTATTCAAAAACTTGCTTCAGTACCTCCTATCGATAAGACCCAAGGCAAGGCAGGGGGATTTTTAAGCATCGTGGCTGTAAGAACCCGATTTTGAAACAACACCACCAACCGCTCTTATCTCAGTATTTCATATCACTTCAAAGATGAGTCATTTATAACGTTGAGACAATATGCCTCCTCTCGACTGATTTATCTTACATGGCATTCATCGCAATAGAATTCGATTTAACTCCACCAATCTTTTTTTTCTTATTTCTTTATCCATTGAACAGCTGTTAGTTGTCCTCCCTGTTATTTTCCTTTTCATGGAAGTCGTACCAAGTCTCGGATTCCGCCGATACAAGAAGCCCTTCCCTACACGACTACCAAATGTCATAACCAAAGAACAATGTGGGAAAGTGTGGCCTAAACTTCCATCGAAGAGATTTAGTCGCTTCCTGAGAGGCCCAGTGTGCACCCGACCTAATGATACCGTTCTGTTCGAAAAGCTGAAGGATATTGGTGGCTTTAACCCTCGATACGTGGCAATCAACCGGACAGAGGCCATGAAATTTCCAAATCTCCTCGCAGATAGGAACTCTGTGGCTGTTACCCGACCCCCAAAACTGCACACCGTGAAGGCTTCCGTAAGTCACTACTCAGTTGGGAAGAAAATAGGAAAGAGAGAAGCAGACAATTTACCCAGGGCTGCAGGCACTATCCTGGATCAACAATGCTTTGATGCAGGTTCCATTGTTGAAGGAAGCGGCTTACGGCGTCTCTGCAGCGAATGCTCAGCCATCACGCAGCTACCAGATGATATCTTCCCTCGATTCATCAATGAGATTATCTGCGAAGAAAGCAGCGAGTCCTGTGGCTCTCCACTTATAGGCCTATGTCAGCAGAGGAATTTGGAATTTAGGTTTCTTCAATTCACAGGAAATTTTAGAAGAAACTTCCTGCTTAGTCTAATACTTAATTTGGATGTGTTTGTCGAAGATACAGTCGAGTTTGATCAAGATGTTAGAGGATGTTGCGAATGCCGTACATTCACAGCATGAATAATTTTTAAAAGTGCCAGACGCGGTAATGAACTATTCTTTATGAAGTTCAATTTTAGTTCAGATCTATTTCCTAGTAGCCTTTATTGATGCGCAATATATTTTAGAGAAGCACTAACGAAGACACTTTCATTTCATTATCTATTAGATTTTGCAAGACTAGTGGGGAAATCGCCTACGTGGCGAATTTCGAAAGGCAGTGGCATTTAAAGCGAAGGATTCTAGATGGAAAAGTATTATTTGATTGCGATAAAGAACTTACTCTCAATATCTCTGCTTTCAAAGACGCACAACGGAAGTTTCAAGAAAATGACAGGAACTGCATTTTTTAATATAAATTTCAAAGCACAATGTGATGATGTGATAACAGAGAATCGATGCGTCCTCTTTGATTCTTTCTTTCTTTTATTGTACTTGATATAGATATTACTAAAAATGCTTATGAAAAAATAAAGGCTACCACATATGTGACAATACAAAGAAGTGCTTCTTGGTATATGCATTTCTAAGAAGGAACTGAAATTTCTGGTGGAAATCCCATCGATAACAACAGAAACCGAGTTTCGATTCGATACCGAACGGATCTGGTCTTTTTGCATGGAAGTGGATCCAAAAGTTACCTTGCCCCAGCGATTCAGTTGGAATCAAAATGAATATATTATGAAATGAAAAGTTTTAAAGTAACGAATCGTTTTTGCTTGAAATGATAACGATAATTTCCACTCTTGGAATTTTCCTACTTGGTATCATAAACAACACATATAATATCGATTCTCCATGTACCTACTGTAGTTATTGAAAAGAGGGGTCACACTAACTTTCCGTTACCTTCTAAGTTTATAATTTCCACTCGTGTTTGTAACACCAGTGCTTAAATCCTCAATAAAACGGAACAAAATCTCATTCAAATTTATTCGTGAAAGTTTAGTGAGATATGGATTGGATGTCCCTTGGTTAATTAAATATTAATTTTGCCATATGTTTCTATCCCCATTATGCCTTTGCACGCCCAATATTTTTCTTTGTCCGACCTCTTCTGCTCGAAATCAATATCAGCTACAATAGCGAAGGTGTTGATTGCAGGGAGTATCACTTATTGAAATCTTTGTAGTTGGACGCATTTTCAAGAAATTTGTTAAGTGCCAAAAGGTAGGTTTAGGTATAATTTCTTCTGATTTTAGTGTTTAGGAAGAGGTTGGAATCACTATTAAATTCTTTCCAGTCCGTTCAGTCAGTGAGGATTTTATTATATCACCTAACCGAAATATGGAAAGAGCAAACTAAGGAACTTTGCAATCATTCTACGAAGATCGACATCTTGAAACTGAAACTTGTGATTATATAGATAATGATGAGACACACGGATAAAAGTGAATTTCTGGTAGTCTTAAATTCATCAGTTTCCCTCATAGAAGAAAAGAATTAAAATCTTAGCTTCTAAACCACCTTCGTGTTAGCTTAAAAATTTCTCTTTATAATTACAGTTCCATAATTCAGAGCGAGACTGGAGTAATAAATTATTCCTTTGTTGTACATATAGTAACACTGGAAAACCTTCAGACATGTTCGAAAATTAGACCTCACTCAACGGTATTTTGAGCGTATTGGCAAATTACCCGGTAATTTTTAAAGAATCCTCCTGTTGGTTTAGTAATATCACGCTTAGATGAAGCTAGATGCAAATTTTTTCTTTTTGTTACCAATAATTAAACAAATTGATACTAAGGTAGTTGCGGTCCTGACTTATTATCCAAAACAGAAAGTTTAGAGGAGGGTCGGGGGTAAATTTTAAAGATGATCACCCTCACATTCGTTACATATCGATACAAAGTGATGTAAAAGAAAAGTGATGAAAAAGGCTATAGAAAATAAAATGAGTACATTCCTAAATATTATCCATAAAATATCGATCGTATAGATATATGTTTGGATAATTTTCTTTTAAAAAATCAGTGAAAAGATGTGATATTCGAATCAGCGCAATTTTGAAAATCATCTTATTGAGAGAGAGAACATCCTTTCTAGAACTAACCTATAACAATAATAAGAAACGATATTGCCAGAACTTGTTTATTCGGTCTGCATTACTGAACTTTATATATCTTAATTCCGTTGTTGGTAGCGAAGAGAAAGAGAGGCCAGGGAATTGAGAAGCTTAAAATTAAGCTGATATGAAGTTTTTTAAGGTGAGAAAATTCATACTCTTGCTTGAATTTAATATTGTGGGACCGACATTTCGAAGTCAGCATTTTTCAAAGAATGATCATTACGAATGGAGTTCCAAACACAATTGTTATGTAACTCAAGGCCTCTATGCTTCAGTCATTCAAGGGGCTTGGGCACCATTCTAAAAACATCGGATAACATGGTTAGATTTTCTCTCGGTGGGGAAGCGATCTACCGAGAAAGAGAGATAAGGTTTTCATCTTCGTGGGGGGGTTAATGTAATCCTTTCTTCTTCCCACGCACTAGGCTGAGCACGGGGTAAGTCGTTGACTGAGCTAAAATACCATTATTCTTAATCTTGAAGTGGAAACTATATGAAAGAAGCATTATTCTCTGAAAAAAATAAAATCTGCAATCAGCTAAAGTTCTCAAGCGCCGCTCTCACCTAAAATTTCTGATATACCATCTGTAAATGAAACCTCATCGCTAAAAAAACCGAGGTTTATCTCCAAAGCAGGACATAACATGTAAAGTGAACGACTTCTATTGCTCGTTTTATTTTTCTCAGGTTATTTTCCTCTTTTCTCTGTGCATCATTCGATTTCCAACAGCCAGCGGTGGGACAATTAGCAATAAGCAAGGAGGTAACGATATAATTACCATCCCACTTGGAAACCTATCAGCCATTACGGCTCCTACGTCCAGCCTGCAAGCATCCAATATAACTCTGAATGCAACCGGTGTAGCACCCACTGGAGGATCTTTGAACGATGGAAGCATTTATGCAACCCACGGGACTACAAATTTGAATCCCTCTACAGCAATGAAGTCAACAAGGAAACCTAAAAGGACCGTAAAAAGGATGTCGAAAAAAGCCTCGAGAAGCCGTCGTTGGAGTAAGACTAGGAAAAGTATGAAACACGGAGTCGCGCAAAGTGGGAGAGGTTTTGCAATCCAAAACTCCACCAATTATGCCGCTAAAAATACAACATCAGGACAGACCAATATTCTAAAGCGGTCACACCTGTCTCGCCCTAAGAAAGTCCATCCTTGCAACACAGTACAAACATCTGCGATGAATTACAGTGTCGGTAGCATCATGTGTCGCCGGTGGAAGAGCAGTGAGCTACAGCATCATATGAGCTGTTTGGGGTCATATAGTCATCGATATCTGGCATCTTCCTTCAAAGAAGCGCAACACTTTAAAGATCTTGACACAGGGAGGGTTCAGGACTTAAGTAGCTCCCATATTTGGAATCATTCGAAACACAGCGTTCAAAAAAGATACGTCAACATCAACCCAGGAGAAACATTAATCAGTCGGTGTCACGCGCGAAAAACGACCACAGAATCCGGCCATTTAAGGATCTGCCCAACCTGTGCAGCCATAACACGTCAGCCAGTGACGCCAAAACGATTTCCGGAGTATATTAATGAGCTGCTGTGCGATCCAAAAATGGTGTCTAATTACCTGCCCGGTATCGATGGCTTCTGTGTGCAGAAAACGTTTACGCTTGATCTTTTACAATTTGCTGGGAACTGGGAGTTAGATACAGTACTGAGCGCGGAGGCAGGGTTCAATGTTTATAAGGAAAAATGGGAAATGTATACTCAAAGAATACGGCGCCATTGCGCATGCGAGCTGTTGGCTTCAAGCCCGATGGCCAACTTCCTATGATTCAGCGCATATCTGCTACAATTTAGAGTTTTCTTTTGACGTCTAATCAATATCCGTGAAAAATATGATATTTGTGTTTCTTCATAATAAAGAACGCCACAAAAATAAGTTTCGAGGGAGATTTTGTGTCATTTGTAGTCTTCATCAGTCCATTCAGAGCCTGGAAATTTGTGCGATTTGCAGTCTTCATCATTTCAGTCAACACAGTTTCAGATGCTGAAATAAAGAGAAAGAAATGCCACGCAAGGAATCGATCAGTTGTAGCAACACGTATCGAGGAACACTTATATGCTAAAAATAACTGTCACCAATTTAGCACAAATTAATCTAGAATTTTTTGTTATTTTGCGTGTTCACCGAATATACTGTTTAGTTCCTTCCGTTTACTTTGAAAAGTGACGTTAAGCGACCGCGTACTTCGATATTTGCCTTATTACGTTAATTAGACATAACATATATATAGTGAATACCGTATATCTCAGCTGTACTAATTGAAGGAATATCAGTTCAATTCCTTTGTTGGCAGTGAGGCCAATTAGATACAAAAGGATAGAAAAACCGTACAATAATCAATGATGGGATTTGCCAAGGTAAGGAAATTCACACTTTCATTTATAGTTCTGATAGAGACATTAAAAAGTCGGCATTTTGGCTGATGAAGTGATACTAAAAAGCGTAGCTCTCCATGTATTTGTTTTATTTAGCAAACCACGCGAGCCAAGCAAATTGCCCAGTTCTACTGTCGTTAACAGAGGTTATCATTAAACGAGCCCCATCACTTTTAAGTACAGTAACATATTATTTAGCTTATTTGTTTTTTTCATAAGATTGACGGGAATAAGAAAAAAAAACCAAATGCCGTTTAACTAGTAAAAAGTTTCTTCATTGGGTCAGTGGAAAAACATCGGACAGAGAAAGCGGAAATTCTGATGTTCGCATCCTAAGACTTTTTTTCTTTTTCTCGCATAGTTAACAGTGTCAAGAAAAGTTTCATCTCATGTTATTCGTCTACTAAACCAAAAAATAAACTTATTTTCAATTCTCTTTACAAACGCAGTTATTTATTCAAAAGCAAAGCGAAAGCTTACAGGGTGCATTGAGTAAATTTATTCTGACAACATGGCCTCTTGTTGTTGATATTGTAACCTTTCCTGTACCTTTTTCCGCTCCTTTTTATACAATTCTTACGCACCGCTAAATGATGCACAGACCCAAACTGGATGCGCTTCTCATGTAACGCCCATGAACGTAAATCTAAGATGGTTTTTTTTCTTCTATCATTTTTCTCAGGCTTTTTCCACATTCATGTTCCTTTCAATGTTCATCGTTCAACTCCCGACGGCCAAGGGGGCAACAGTGTCACGTTATGACACAATCTACAATGCGCTTAGAAAGACTTTAGACTCTAAAGCACCGACACAGGGCCAAAACGAATCCATTGCAATTCTCAAAGCCCACATGGCTCTAACTAAAGATACTTTGGACACTGAAATAAGGCGATCAGACCTTGAAATCACAAACACGGCTCCCCCAACGCCTGCTGTGGCAAAGTTAAGAAGTAAACGAAACAGGATCTTCAGTCGTCGTTCGCGTCAATGGAATCCTTTTAGACTTGTGACCCAACAGGGAAGGAAACACCCTACCAGACCCTCAAACCTGCTTGGTTCAACGAATGTCCATCCTTGCAACACGGTAGAGACCTCTGAGATGAGTTACACCGTTGATGGTATCAGGTGCCGTCGGTGGGATAGAAGTGAGCTGCAAAATCGCATGAAGTGCATGGGAAGCTACAGTCCTCGCTATTTAGCATCTTCCTTCGAAGAAGCGCTAAGGTTTAAAGATCTTGATTCAGGAGATATTTTCGACTTTTCTAAATCTTACATTTGGCATCATCTAAATAACGCAGTTATCAAAAGAAACTCCAACATAAAACCAGGAGAAACCAGAATCAGTCAGTGTCATGCGAGGAAAACGCGCACAGAATCCGGGCATTTAAGGATCTGCCCAACCTGTGCAGCCATTACACGTCAGCCGGCAATGCCGAGAAGATTTCCAGAGTATATCAATGAGCTGCTATGCGACCCAAAAAAGGCGACCAACCTTCCCGTCATTGGTGGCTTCTGTGTACAGAAATCATTTACACTTGATCTTTTGCAGTTTAATGGAGAGTGGCAACTGGATCCGAAACGGAGTGTTGAAGCTGGGCTCGATGTTTACACGGAAAAATGGACAACATATACTCAAAAAATACGACGCCATTGCGCATGCGAGCTAGTGGATTCAAGCCCGATTGCTCGTATGTTGTGATTTGTGGCGTACACATCCTGAGCAGCTGAGAGTTTACACGTCATGAATTAATTTTAATTCGTTCCATAACATCGATAGGGAAAGTATTTACTTTGTAGTAATAAGCCATGATTCTACAATTGTTAATTACGTAATTTCCGTTTTGAGTCAAGTGTTTAAAGGACGATGAAAAGAGATACGTTCCCAGCTGTTCACGGACGCCAAAGAATTAAGTCAATTAAGATTGAAGCTAAGAAACTTGCTTGAAATAGGACAGTAAAATAACAAGAATCTTAACCGGAGAAAAGAGGTGTGATTTCCCTGATATAATTTCCATTTGCATGCTTTCCGATTATGTTTGTTATCACAGTTATCGTACGTGATTTAATTCAATTCTAAAATAGTGCTATCGCGTACGCCCTATGAACATCAGTGATTGCTCTAATCGTTCGTAATAGTAGTTTATGTCGTTAAATACCTTCAGTTTTTACGTTTTCAAGTACCTCATTCGAGAATATCCCCCAGAATAAAGATTATCGATTTAATACTCCGGACAAGATATGTAGGTTTAAGAATCTAAACACATGACATACTTTTTCCAATTTAGGGCTTAAGATTGCAGTGGAAATATTTTTTATATATTAAGCTGAATTACGAGGGCTTTCACTTATGACCTATTGGAGAGCAGACGCATAGATGGCGTCACCATCGAGTAGCACACTCGGCTACGCCGAGTTTATCACTTCACCTGGCTCAAGAAATTGACATTGCCCTTCGATATGCCTCTGTTACTGCAAATGGTTATTGTAATATTTCTTTTTATAAAAAAAAAAAAAACATATCTAAAGCTTGGTGTAATTGCTTTTTTTTAAGAAGAGCGGGACCAGATTTGAACGAATGTAAAGTCAGATCCATGGATTGGGCCTGAGGGATCGAGGCGGAAGAATCGAACTGATAGGGATCTGACTGAACCGGGGAATTAGGTGGTAGAAATAGAGCCAGTGGGTCGCACCAGTAGGACCAGACCAAAAACGTACGGCGTGCAGTAGTTTTTCCCTCGCCCAGCGAGTAACAGAGATTATTTAAGCGTGCGCTTGTTATGCGAACATTAATCATAGCAATTGGTAATTGATTTATCAGATTTTCGTGCTTAAGATATATTAAGACAAGTGAGATTTCAAGAATAAAGTTATGATTGATTTTAGCCTTTTAACGATATCCGAATATGAAGAACTTGATTAGCAAATGCAATATTTTCCCACTGTAACGAGGTGAATGCGTTCAATCAAAAGAGGTCGATCAACGGGAATATTTTCTTTTCAAAACCTCGGCAAAATACTGGTTTTTCTTACCCCGCATTGTAAAACACTATTCCTTTATCGTGAATTTCATTCATCTACTCATGCAATAATGAAATAACGCTAACAAAAAGTATAAAAAGAGGAAATAGTGAGGGTTTTTAAAAAAATCTACCTTTTCTGTTGGAAAAATCTACCGTGGAGTATTACTAGTGTTGAAATGATACCTGAGAAATATTTCTTTCTCGAGAAATGTATTGTTATTCATTTGGTATCGTTGCTCCGGAATCTCACTTGCACTGTAAAGAATTCTGTTCAAGTTTAAATGCTTTGTTTACTTAATTATTGAAATTTAGAAGGAATTTGCCATTTAAGGGAACACATGGCGGTTATTGATTACCAATGGCAACTGGTGTAATTAGTAAAAAGGCAAGGGCACGACTAAGCAGCGTGGTTAACAGATAGATAGGAATGAGAGATATCAGACCTACAGTTCCATAAGGGATTTATTTTGCGTAAGTTACATTGTTTAAATGTTCACTTCATGACTAATTTTTGTCACTCTAACGCGTGCACTTGCTTACTGTAGTAGCTTTGAAAAGATTAGCTAAGATAAGCGTTATGTAATAAAAAAAGATGGACATTTTGATAAATTAGTCTACTAAGAGTTTGTAAGGGTTCCAAATACTTGACTCACAAGAAAAACCATCGAAAGAGATGAGCTAAGCGACAACGATTTGTATCTAGAGCTAGTGATCAGACAATGTCATCTGATGCATGTTTGTTTTATAGAAGTAAACTCATTAAAGCCAAACGACGCTGTCATTTCGTTACAGCACATTCACCACTTATAAGCTGCATGTCGAGTGGCGACGATCATCGTATTTTCTGTGCAGAATTAAGCTTGGAGTTTGGTAAATGAAGGTAAGAGTATTAATATTTCTTTCACCATGACAAAAAGGGTGTATTAAGGAACGTATGGGAAAATATTTGTATGGGAAAAACGTATGGGAAAAAAGATGGCTAATTCAAATTCTGTATCAATGTGTCTTCTTGTCATACACATTTGAGCGTGATGTATAGAAAACTAGTAATTTTTTATTTCGCTATCGTCTCAAAAATTGTCTCTTTTAATCAAAGCAAAAAGCTCTACTTTTTTCTTAATGATATTTTATCCTTACGACACAACTGCACTCAGGCCTCACGCTTAAGGACATCGCCCATGTTCCTCCCTTGTTCGCGTGAAATTTTAACATATCAGTACATGAGGTTAATTTACCGAAAACAAATCGCTTCACCATTTCTTTAAGATTGTTATTTTAAAGGTTTCGACTGGTCGATGGGAAAGAAAAAATCTGTCTCTGTTTGATGAAATTTTTGGAAATATCAAATTGGTTTATTTTAGGCACACCAGTCCTGCTGAGTTTTCCATCGATTTTGCATTTGAAAGAAAGAAAACAATAGGATAAGGGCTAAAAACTAATACAAAGAGGAACAATTGCATTTATTCAACACTGTCACCACTGACAGATCAATAATTTTGGAGACAATATCTCTATCAAATTTATTTCCAAAAAGTTGGTAGCAATGTAATTGTGTGCAACTCCTTTGGAAAAATATCTATTGCCTTAAAGTGACTGTTGCTTTTTTTGTAGAGCCTGACGACTATGAATGTAATTTAAAAACTTTATGGCGTGAGCCTTACTCTACCTGTGGGGCACTGTTGTTATGAAATATAGCATACTATTTGTTTACTTGGCTCGATGTCAACCACAACAACGCTGTTGGTGTGCGATTTTAATCAAACTTGCAATTATTTTATGAAATTGTGGCTATGAAGAGGACAATTTTTCACTCTAAATATCTTGTTATCGCCAATAAACACTTATTTCATGTTTAAAATAATTTTTCTGACGGTAAACCTAGGGGTTACTTGAATTAATCTTGAATGCCATCGGACTTAGTGTCGCAACATGTTAGCAGTAAAACATAAAAACTCCTAAAAAATCCTTATTAAAATCGGAGCAAAAAATCTACGTCTTAAATCTAAGGAGTTTCCCAAAACAAAAGGTGGTTTGTCGATCAAAGTGTTCCCTATTATTATTTATCATAAATTCATGTTTTCCAGATGTTAATGAAGCCTCCTTCCATACTCGCCATTACCGCGCTTCTCCTGTGGATTGTTTGTATAAGTCAAAGCGCTGACGAAGAAGAGTGGCTCCATGACAATATTCAAGGGCTTTCAGAGAACGATGGTTTTGGGCCCGTGGTCCATCCTTGTTTCAACACCACTAAGAATCAAACCGTCACCACTCCGGAAGGTCAAAAAATCCTCTGTTTGGTACCTTCTGAGGATGACCTGGTGAAGGACCTTGAAGCGTTGGGCGGGTTCAACAGGCGTTATACGGCCGTCACCAAAGAACAAGTGGACATGTACTTTGAGGATCCTTTCAAAACTGACTCAAAGCCGATCGAATGGGAAAGTAAATTCACTGGAAAACGCCGCCGTTCCATACATGAAAACGAAGAACGCTCCGCCAGCGATGAAACGCTTGAACGAAAAAAGAGAAGTGTGAGCGTAGGTGTTCAGAAATGCGAAAAGAAGGCCACTAGAACATCTGAGAACTTCTATCAACTCTGTGATGAATGTTGGTATATCACACAGCTGCCGCCGAATAAGTTTCCTCGGTACATCAACGAAAAAATTTGTGGCACGACTGGCGCATCCCTGATGGATATCTGTGCCGGTAATACAGGCTTTTGTATCCAAAAAGAAATTATCCAAGATCTCCTTATCCAGACCAACCAGTATGAAAAGATTCCGTCACCTGATCCTCAGTACAGCGTGGTCTACAAGCAAGTCTGGAAGCCATTCAGTCAGAAAATCAGAAGCTGCTGCCAGTGTCAGTCCTTTACGCCGTAGTCTGCAGGCTCAATTGGAGAGGAGGGAGGAGAGGTAGTTACGAGGAGTTATTTGTAGAAATTTGGAAACCATCACTAGCATAATTTTTGTCCGATGTAGAGGTATTCTTCGGACGTTCATCCTGTTGCATGAATCTTTCAAGTTCCGTAGAGAAAATATAGTTTCTCTTTATGTACATGCGAAGATAGTATACCCTTTTATCCTGTGGGTAACTTGCAATAAATTTATTGAAATCCATTACTAATTTTTCAGAATATGGAGGCTACATTTATAATCCCTGACAGTAGGGGGGGGGTTGGGTGGGTCCTCTGTTAACCCCCCTATATCCCTCATTTTCCCAACCACATTACCGCTGAACAAAATGTGTCTTTTCTCTAAAGGCTCATGTGACTCAGTATGATCACTAGTTTTTGTTACTTTGACAATTCGCTTAGAAAAAACTAAGAAAGGTCGTTGGAAAACTCACCCATGACTAATTACGAACACAACTGCAATTGTTTAGTCTTGAATTGCTCTATGGTATACTCAGATCATATAAATAAATAAATTCCTGTATAATCCTTCCGTTTTATTTTGGCATCCAAACAAGTCATGAGCACTTTATTTTCCTAAATCATTCTAAGTAGCTCATGACAGTCTGCGACCTTTACTACATTTAGGCAGTTCCAAAAGCAGTTAGAACAAAAAATGTTTCCCTCAAATCGACAATCTTAATAATCCCCACAGCATTAACTGAACGCTTCTCATCAGCTTATTCATTCTTGTTTTTCATATTACTACGTTCCCACCAATAGCGTAGCTCCATTTTCTGTATATAAATCAAACACAACCCACAATTCCTCTTTTCGCTCCGACGAAGGTCAGTTTACATTATCAACTCAGTAGTTAAAACCAGATTATCTATGTAATACCGCCTCACAGTTTCTTTAGAAACTTGCTCGCCTTATAAGATTTATTTTGGGCAGTTTCCCTTTCAAAATTTTACCACAGCTGAAAGTCACAGCAACTACGAATCTTTTGCGTGTACGGTTCCCAGACCTGCTTAAAAGCTTTGAAATATAGCTGAGGATTTGGGGAATCCACCTCCACGTATTTTCCAGTACTAACTAGGAAGTCAATTAATATAAAACGCTGTATGCACATTCCGTGTTCCATGTTACAGCACAACTTGTCCCTTTTCCGACTTGGAGTTTCTTCATCGCACGCAACTTCATTGATATAACGTGGAAATCGACTGGAACTTAGTTTGGAAACTCGTTGACACTCGGTGCACAATCGGATCATTCCGGTCTCCGTTCGACCACCTCGGTAGTCGCAACGAACTTTCTTTGAACTCACAATGTTGTTCTCAAAGACTTCGTTGTGTGACACAGCTTTTCTATTACGTGACAAGTATGTCTTTTTCCGTGAAAATTCTTTCCTGTTGCGTGACAATGAAGACTTAAAATGATTCCATATGATAAGGAACGGTTTCTCTTCACCATTTGTTACAGGTGGTTGAGGGCCAGGAAGTAGATTGGTGAAATTCTCAGCTTCGCGTTCCGTCACCGCTGCATAATACTTATTTAACCCTCCTATGCTTTTCAATTGCTCCCTCAATTCTTCCTCTGTAGGAACCATGCACAAAATTAATTTCTTGCCTCCAAGATTACTATCATTGCTGATAGATTCGTTACACGGGCGACTTATTGCCTGGTCACCACGGTACTGCACAACACGCGTGGGATGACGCTTGGATAGGTCATTGACAAATCCATGCGTGCACAAGAAAAACGTAATTAATGAAAATGAATAAACTATTTCAACCTGAAGAAATGAAACAGGAAATATAAAAGTTACCTTAGGTGTTGCATAGTTAAATTCAATTCTACAAACCCAGCAAGAATTTTTTTTCTATTTTTTCTGGTATGAATTCCCGAAAAACAAATCACACTAATTAGGAATGAAGTTAATTTACTCAGTACAGACCGTGAAAAGGAACAACCAAAAGCAGTTGAATCCGTGGGAGAAATTTAAGTTTCTTTTTTTTCGAGGGTTAGTGTCATGAATAGGCGCTGTGCCCATTACGTCACTAGAAAAAGCAACATTTTTTGGTTTTTTATCAGATATCAGTAGCATGTCTCGGTTGTAAAAGAGAGAAAGGGTTAATTTGCATCCAAGATAAGATGTGAAAAAAGCCTGATGTACGCTACCTTCAGTAAGATATCATGTAATGGCTAAGAATAGATAGGACTGAATTTTACGACCCGGTACATTACAAAAAGCATCCAACAGATGTACGTGACTCCAAAGCTGGTTCTTTCGTTTTCAAATTAACCCTCCGACACAACTATCAAATTAAGGTATCTGTATAATGTACTATATACTGTTTTAATACTAAAAATGATAGACGTTCTTACCTTCGGACGCATTTTGAATGATACAGCTAACTTTTCTGTACGTACACGAAAAAACGTTACTAAAAGACAATAACCTATTCAGTGTATGCCACAGGTTTCCCAAATTTTTTCACCTGTCGTCAGAAAAGGAGGATCCAAACTGAGCACACAGACAATGGCAAATATGTGATGACCCAGCTGATGAAGGATACACATCCCAGATTGCTAAACAAACGAAAAAGGCAACAAGCGGCTACCTTGCTAAACAGCATTGGACAGCTGATCCGGCAAAAGTTGCCACTTTATTTGTGGATCGAAAATCTCGTTTACTCAAAAAGTGCCACGATTGATCTCAAAGAAGAAAACTGATTCATCACTACAGTTTTCATACCTTTTCCTTCCAAAGAAAAACAAAACAAAACAAGAAAACAGAGTTAATTTGGTCCAGCTTCAAAGAAAGAATATAACAACTTCTAGGAACTTCCATTACGATTTAAACACTAAACTAAATATTCCGCGTTCACGTTAACATTTTGGTGCCATGGAGGTGCTACTGCTGAGAACGCCAAATCGGAATTGTGTCCGACTATCCACGTAATAAAATTTCATTAAAAGACAGGAGGAGTACAATAATTTCCGAATTCAAACAAAAAGCATATCAACTAAGTAACTAGGCATTATTTATCGCGGGGGGAGGGAAGGTCGGAGGATTTTCGTCGCTAGTAGAGTGTAAAGAGGGGGCTTTAGACAATTGTCGGTATATGAGGGGGATCGTTAGAGTACTAAAAGGCTTGGGGGGGGGGGAGATAAGGTAAATGTTGTCGTTACTTCATTGTGGTACAACCAAAATCCTCCAACTGTCCACCCCCCGCCCCTCCCACCGGTAAATAATGACTGGTCCCTGACGTCATTCACAAATGCCTTTCTCAGAAAAAACGACAAATGCCACACTTTCCGAATATTATTTTCAAGCAAAATTGAACATTAAAAGCTATGGGAAATATACACCCTACACGAGCCAGACGATTCTATTTTTGGAAAATCCTCGTGAGGCGATCACCATTTCAAAACACTCCCAAACATATCATGACGACGTCACAAAACACATCCGTCGCCCGCGCCTACAAGAGCCAGACAAAAACACCGGATTTCCTCATCACTGGGTGAAACCGTCGGGCGAAGTGGGAAATTATAGATCTAGAACTGACACAGGAGTTATCTGAAATTAAAAAAACAAAACAAAACAAAACAACCCCCCCCAAAAAAAGTCCGCTTCCCACCCATGCGAATTTAGTGATGTTGAAGTACGTCGGTCTGTAAAGATAGTATAATTAATCAGAAAATAGGATGATGGACCAAGAGAATTGCAAGAATTGTAAAAAGTAACATAAATGAAAAAATCATACAGTATATTGGTCAAAAATGTAACACACGCTAATTTGACTCAGTCATTCAAAGCATTCTTTTACCTAAAGCAGGAAGTGACACCAAAAGGGATAAGCTGTATACTTTTAGTTCCAGAATAAACACGCTTATGAAGCAACAACAACAGGAACATCAACGTAAGTGTAACCTTTGGTCAAGCAGGAAATCACATTGGCGTATGTCCCGTGCTCTGTCTCTAAGACGTTTCTAAATTAGATCCCTCTCAAACCTTTACGTAGCTGCAGGACCACATAAGGAGATCATATGCGGACAAAAAAAAACATTAAAAATAAAACGAGCAAACACTGTGATCTTGACTTCTAGACACACTTACTTTCATTGGTTATTTTCTTTCCGCATTGTCGTTTCACCTCGCAAATATGCCGGAAACCAGAGGCGAATGGGAATGTCCCTAATTATTACTATAAATACTAGTTAACTTTCCGCCGAACGCTGTCGAGAACTTTGTCAGCGGACTGAGCTGAAGAAGTCAAGATTTCCTCTGTCTGAAAGATTCTGAAACAGAAAAGGTATGTTATATTGAACCTTACGGTATTAATACCCATTCTATATCTACATCAAACTTTCACAACGGCAAGTTAACGTTCGCGCTCTTTGGTCCAGTAAATAACAGTGTGAATTAGCTATTAGTTTCGTTTCCTTCTCCTTCGCGTGGCTTTATTCCCAGGTCAGTATTTCTTCATGGACAAAGAAAAAGACCAAATTTTTAGTTCAATAAATGGTTCTGGAGATAAATTCCGCACAGCCAGATACTTCAACTCCAATTGCTGATCTTAAATCTTACTTTCACTGTCAACTATTTATTTTAGAATTGGACCGATCAGACTCCGTAAACAAAAAATGGACTTTAAAATATTGGTAAGAACTCTGAATGTCTCTTTTCATAATTAAGAGTAATCAAAAATTAATGTAATCTTTGTAACTGAAACTTGGCGTCATCATCCTGAGGTGGGAACAGAAAAAGCAGTTGGCAGACTGATCAGTCACTTCCGGAAAATGAACGACATCCTATGAGAGAGGAAAAAATTGTACCGTGACATTCCCTTTTTTCAATAGAAATTAATTCTACCTGCCCATTGTATAAAAACCATTAGCACGTACTATCGACCATGAATCATGTTAGTCTAAAAGTGCGTTATGAGTCTTGACGATTGTTTTCTAGCTTTTGTGAGATCACCGATAATGTTGGAAACTCGCAGACAGCTATCGCTTTCTTTGGCAGTAAACTAGCTTGTAATGAAACAAAACATCCTAAATAAATTTTTTCCTTCTTAAAAAAAATTCAAGTTAATTTCATAATTTCTCGTCTGCAGTTAGCTATAACCGCCATGGCTTTTTCCGCCTGTCTGAAATACGCAATGGCCAGTGGCATTCCCTCGGCCGCGGAGCATCCCACAGCTGAGCCAAATGTAAATCAGACGGATTTGGTGTTTACATCACTGACACCTGTCCGTTTTAAGCGACAGAGCCCACAATTTTTTCGTTGCAAGCGCCACAGCCGTGCACAGCTGATCCGAAAACTGAACAGGCTTGGTAATCAACGAGGGGGAGGTTATGGTGGTTATAATCGACGTTTCATGGCACTGACCTGGAAGGATGCTCGAAAATTCCAAAACCTTGTCACAACTGTGAGCACTTCTCCACTTAACTTCTCTATTATCAACAATCTCCCTCTTAGTGCTCCGAGTAAAGCAGGTACACTGATGTCACGCACCGATTGTCATGCAACGGAGAATGGGCTACTACGCATGTGCAGTGCATGTCCTGCTGTCACTTTTTTGGGTCACGATAGGATACCTTCCTTCATCAACGAGGTCAAGTGCGGACAAGGAATGTGTTCACATGGAGTGCTTGGCCATTGTCAAGCAGCGGTAATGCTCCAGCAATTTCTATACAAGACAGGGCGGTGTAACCCAGTCACTGGATATGAAGAATTATTGCCCTATACCCAACCAATACGCGTGTGTTGTGAGTGCTTGGTCTTCCCCATTGGTTAAATATCACACGAAAGTCAAATACGCATCGCAAAGTCAGAAGTACCTAAATAAAACACGATCGTGGTATTATTTGTTGATCATTCAAAAAAATTAAATTCACTGTAAGAATAGTAATAAATTACTTAATTGCAATAAAAAAGTATACTTATGTTCATGTCGGTAGTCCAATCATAAAGGGGGTAAGTTTCTACTGGGAAACTGTGGTGCTGCGTCGGTGCGAGAGTGTAGCAAGGTAATTTGGTATATCAACCGAGTCGATAACGTAAATTAGCCACCGTAAAGCTGACATTTCGAGCATTAGCCCTTCGTCAGAGATTTAATTAATCAGTCTAGTAGCCTAGTATCGCGACCGGTAACTATGTCAAGATTGGACGTTGCAGAGTAGTGCACAATAACAAAGGAGCCATCTGTTCTGTTACAAGGGGAAATGGGGTGGAGGAAGAAAGGAAGGTGAGATGAGAATTTCGTACACCAAACCAAGCACATCCCCTTCTATTCAAAATTTTCCCAACATTTGCTATACGTAGTTCGCTTGCACAAGAAAACCTCTTAGTGACCATTTTCTCCGTGATCGATCTTTTACAGAGCATGTAGAAGCAGTTGTTCTATAGAATTGTCACACACGAAGAAGTTGCGTCAAGTCCTCTCCCGATGAAACCATTAATTGTGAAAATCTACATGGGGTCGGG